GGCCTAGGACAACGCGAAAACGAGAAAACAAACCAGGGTCAAACCACGACCCAGAGGCAGAGAACACAAGACAACGAGAAACCGAAACAGGGACCGAGAAAACGAGACCACGACCCAGGGGCCTCAGACAACGAGAAAACGAGAAAACAAGCCAGGGTCAGACCACGACCCAGGGGCACAGAGCACGAGACAACGAGAAAACGAATCAGGGTCCGAGAAAACGAGACCACGACCCACGGGCCGAGAAACCGAGAAAACGAGAAACCGAACCAGGGTCGCTGAAAACAAGAAGACGACCCAGGGACAGACCAAGAACACAAGAAAACAAACCAGGGTCCGAGAAAACGAGATCACGACCCAGTGGCCGAGAAAAGAACAACAAAAACAAAGAAATGGGGCCCGAGACAACGTGACCGCGACCTGGGGGCCGAGAAAACGAGAAAGCGAAAACACTGACCAGGGTCGGAGAAAACGAGACCACTAATACAGGGAAACGATTAAACAAATCGCCCCCCCTCCCCCCCGTACCACCCAAAATGATTGAGTGGGGCGGACTAATAGAATTCAGCCGCCGGAAGCTGTTTTTTTAATCGTCCGCCCCCTGGCGTTTGCTTTTGCCCCTTTGGGGTAACTGATTTTCTATTCGTGCTCCTTCGCTCGCTTGATCACCCGCGGCCGCGGGGGGAGGATTGCGGAGGGGGGAGAGGAGGACGAACAGGAGGAGAACGAGGAGGAGGAAGCGGAGAAAAAGGAGGAGGACGAGGAGGAGAAGGACGAGGAGGAGGAGGAGGAGGAGAAGGAGGAACAGGAGGAGGAGGACGAGGAGGAGGAGGAGAAGAAGGAAGAGGAGGAGGAGGAGGAGGAGGAGGAGTACAGTACAGTGCTCAAGCCCTTCAAGACCATCCTCTGACTGTTGTACTCTGGCTCGGGCTGTGGCTCGATAGACATTGCTACGCCACCCATTTCATCATTTCGCCTAACAAGGCAACCATGCTGCTGCCGCAACACCTGATGTTCTGCTGATTCTGCTGCACAATCAACAGCTGCTGAAAAAGACACAAACGATCATGTACAAGCAACGACACAATAAAGAATACAACGCGCAAGTGTGCAGATGTCACAACGCGTAAAACCCTCAGAAGCAACTGCATATAGTACACAAGCAACGAGCATATTGGAAGGCGCGGGCAGCAGGCTGATGGCCTGCAGGAAGAGGCCCAGCGCGAGGGCGTGGCCGTAGGGACTACTCACTCACTTCTTGCCTCCTCAGCGCTTCCCACCCAGCTGGCGGGCCATGTTGTTGCGAGGGGCTCGGTTCATCTTCACGTCTCCTCCCATTCCTCGAATGGCTTCGCTGATCAACTGCTCGACTGGAATCCAGAGCCCTGGGATCTGCATCATCTCTGACGGGACCTCCACGGGGCTGATCAGGAGGCCTTTCGCTGGGGTGTTGGGATCTTCGGGGTCCTCCTTGAGCTTCGCTTCGAGCTCGGCCGCGACCCCGTCCTCGCAGGGCAGGGGCATGTTGCCGTGCAGCGCGTACGTAATGCGACTCTTCTGAGAGACCCCTGGCTTGTCGAAGCTGGGGGAGCGCCACGAACTCTCGAATCCATGATGCCATCTGTATTGGAACCGAGCGCCCCATCATTAGCGCAAGCCTTTTGCAGCCTGCTGTGACCGCTTTCATCCGCGGCGAAGTATCCTTGAAGCTGTAATTCTCGATAACGGCTAGAAGTGCGAACAGGGCTTGGGACGCGGGGCCTGCGAGCTCCTGCTTGCCTTTGGCCTTCTCCTCCTTGGTGCGCTCGAGGTAGTCCTGGAACGAGTTGTTGATGGCCTCGATGGCCGCTGACTTGCGATCGATGATCGCGGTGGAGAAGGCTGCGTTCTCGAGGCTCCTGACTCTGGTCTCGAGCTGGATCAGCAGGGCGTCCCTGGTCGAGTTCTTGTTGAACTGCTCGTCGTCGTCCTCCAGGTCGCCCTCATACTGGCCTGCTTCTGCAGCGGCCCTGATCCTCCCAGCAAGCTCGCTGCGCGTGGTCTCACCAGTCCCGAGCTTGACCCTGCGCCGTCCATCAAGCCGAACGTGAAACTTGGGATACATACATATATATATATATAGTCACGCAAATGAAGAAAAACATGCTCGAGATATGTGTCTACGTATTCAAGCTCCTCAATACAGATGTGGCACTTCATGCTGGATATAGCTTGAACTACAACGACTATAGGGGCAATATTGTCTGATCAAGCTCTTCTTAGTGTGTTGTTGTGCTATTGTGCGGTCACGAAATGCACTTCCACATATGGTACACGTATTGGTCGGGGTACATATTTTGGTTACATGTAGTTGACCATGAGCACCTCCTTTCGTAGAGGCGATGCGTGCTATTAATTGTTTTCTCGTGGCCCATCGGGTGCAGCATTGTGCCCCGTCGTCCAGAAATTCACGGCAGACGAAATCTCCTTCGACCCCATCCACCTGGGTTGCTGCGCTGGTGGCAGCTGGCGAGAGAAGAAAATGAGCGCGCAGCTGACTGACATCAAGTGCTTGACATTCTTCGCTGATGTCGGGGTCAAACAGAATGACATCCAGGTGATCATCTGCCTGCAATAAAAGATCCTCGCCAGGCTCTATGGTCCCAAG